CCGCTTGAGAGATTGCATGTCGCCTTGCTCCTTTTATCCTTCGTTGTTTTTATCTTACGTTCGCAATTACGTTATAGCTTCCCTCCGAAGAGAAAACTCGGATTATGCGCGAAACTCGTCGCGTGAAAAATTCATTCTCTCCGTCGAGAGATGAAGCTCTCCCCTCGGGGGAGACACGATTTCTACAATTTTCATCGACACAGCGCGAGCGCGCGGCCGATGACCCCGTTTCTCTCTTCCGCATCACTCGCACGTTCGCTTTGTCGCGGAAAGGCCGCGATTGCGGCTTTAAGGTGGCTCGGCGCTACCTGGAGGGCCGGAAAACACGACAGTTATGGCTCGTTAAGTGTCGCGGCGCATGCATATAGAGGAGAGTACGGGTTACGCGAAGTTAAGTAACAGCATACCGCGGGGCCACGCTCGTTGTAAAACTGGCTCGGTGAAACAACGCGACGCATTTTTCCCCTTGGAGATTTCCCGGCCAACTTGGAAACTACGTTACCGCATAACTACGTAACACTATTACGGCGGGGTGAGAGAAAGAGAGCCAGGGAGCGAAGGGGGAGGGAGGGGGAGGGGAGGGGGGAAGAGCGAAAAAGAGGAGACAGTTTGCTTCAGCGTGCGTATTAAATAAGCAGATCGAGTGGATTCGCCGGCTGGCCGTCTGGAAATGAACCGCGTGATAACGGCGTGGTATCGATCGTAAGGTGGATGTATGAGATTTGCTTGCGCGAATCCGCGCGGAAGTTTCTCAGGATTTCCCCAGGTACGGCGCAGATTACGGTTGGAGTTCCCAAATTTGTCCCGACTTCGGCATCCGATTACGAGATACCAATTGGAGATCTCATTCTTATCCTGAACTTGAGTCCCTCGTCGAGTTCATCGAGACAGAAGAAAATATGCTACAGAAACTTGGGTTTTTTCAGTTACCCGACTAGAAATTTATTCCACGCTCCTGATCAGATTAACCTCGTTTGGTCATCGGATCCGGATAAGGCAATATTATCAGGTCCTAGTAAGTCATGTGGCGCAGCGTGAATATCAAGATCTTATTAAGGATTGTATAGTCTTACGTATCATGTCTTTGTTAAGGATATATCAGGTCTTTATTAAGTTACCTCACTGAGTCCTTCTCATATTTTATTTCAGATTAAGACTCCTGCCCGGTCAAAAACATTTGATTCAATATTATCTTATTATATTATAACTTATATTTAACTTGTCGACCTTTGGAAATTTCAAAATCATCAAATTGACAAAAGTCAGGGCGCTATTGTAACAATATATTCTCGAGACGAAAAAGAGTAAAAAAGTCTAATACTATTTTCTCTTCCGGCAAATAGCGAGATATTGTGAGTTAAATATTAAAAAAGTTTTCCTTAAAGATCTAAAAAAAATATTATAATGAAATATTTCAAACAAAAATTGTTAAAGTTAATTGGAAATAGGAAAAGATGATGTAATAAAAAATTGGGGTTTTCATTTAAGAAAAGTAACGATCAATGAATATCTCGAAAGTGGCGCCATCTGTAAACAAAATGATATAGTTGTTATGTGTCTCCTTTGAAACTATACAACTTTTGTCTAAAACATTTTTCCCTAAAATGTCGTGTTTACAAAAGGTCGGATGCGGGTATATGCGGGTGGTGTTTGTGACACCCTGTATATAATATAAATGATAACGCGAGCCACATTAGATATGAATGAATCCCGAGAAGGACCCGATCAACTAAACCTTGTTACATAATACACTAGATAGTCACATTAAGGTCCTAACATGGACATCTGGTCGTTATAACTTTACAAACGCCTTCGTACTCAATTGTCATCAGGATAATTACAAAAGATCCGACTTAATTAGGATTAAGTCTTTCACTCACTTCATTGGATCCTTGTCAATATCGGGCGTACCTGATGAAAATTTCTAGTCGGGCAGCAACTTTTAAACGCCTGTATATACTTTTATAGTACCAGGGAGAATTTCGCGTGTCAACATTGTATTCGATAGAACAGGAAAGCAGAAATAATAATAACACCAGTGCGAATTAAAAAGAAACATGTCGGGGGAATTGAATTTTCCATTCAGAATCAGTGCATTTTTATTAATCAATTGATTTCTGAGCGACTCAGTCCGCGTGACACACGAGTGATTAGTCGCGTGCATTTGAAATACGAGATGTCGCGCTTTTAAGTTTTAACCGGAGTTTACATAAGCTCGGGCGCTCGAACTCCCAGGTTCCGAATTAAATCCGGAGAAATATCCTGTACGCGCGTACGCGCGCGTGGCGCAGGACGATACCGAAGCGAGCGTGGACGTTCAGTTGGCAAAATTATAGACAGCCTGTGAACTACATCGATGGGGAACGTTCATCGATCGACATTATCGCCACGACGCAACTACCGGCGAAATCCGCTGCAGCGCGGGCGCAGCGCGTGTACCGAACAATTGGAATTAAACTTTTACAAATCCTCGCACACGGTACGCCTGACTCGTGAACGATGTTTCCGGAGCATTCGCCAGCAGTCCTGCGAAAACAAGAGAGAATTTCCAGAACAACCTGCGCGGCCAATTTATATCATCGGAGGCGATCGCCAGCGGCGGCGGTGCCAGGCGACGCGCCGCAGCGCAGCGGTGCGGCGTTACGTCGAGAACGTGCAAAATCCGGCCGCGAAGAGGAAGAAAATGAAAAAGGAAAAAGAAAAAAAAAAGAAGAAGAATGGAAAAGAGAAAACAGCGAGACGTATGCGGAATAAGTATGTATTTGTGGCTCCGTTTTACGAGCGCGCTTTGGGATCGGCGAATGGTTAAAAATCCGCGGCGCTCGCAATCCCCACGGGCTATTCGCCCGGGAGATTTCGACGCGGCCGGGCGCGCGGCGCGGATTTTCAGCGGTGCCGCGGCGTAACGGCGCAATGGCGCCGCGGATATAAAACAGACGGCGACGCTCGGTCGTTCGGGAGTTGAGATTTTATTTTTCGGGAAACGCCGTCGCGCACGTCGGGCAACGCGTAGCCCCCGCGTTGCGTCTCTCGCTTCGCGTGAGAATCGCGCGACTTGCTCGCGCGCCGCGCTGATAGAGCTGGGCTGGAAACGGAACATACTCGGGAGAATCTCGGCGAGCGACGGCGTCGTCGTTATTCTCGTCGTCGACGAGCCGATGAGAACGGAGACTTTCACCTGGCGGGCGAGCCGCCGCGCCGGGCGGGCACGAAGTTTCTTGTTTGTGCAATTCGGCCGTGTAATCTAATGAGCAAACGCCGCGGATTTACCGCGCGGACCGGAAATTGAAATATACATTATGAAAGGCGCCGCTTCTCTTACGCGAGCAGTCGGATCGTGAAATCAGGTCGTCCATGCGGCCTTACCCCTGAATTCGCGAACTTCGCACTCGTGAAATTGCAGTTTTCCGATTCGCCACGGCCGGCAGCCGCGACTTGTAACGATGAATATTTAGCGACGACTACGTGACTCCGTTGAATATCCGGGCTGAGCAGAAGGGTGGGCGGCGGTTTTCGAGGAGGACAGGCGAAGCTCCGGGGCTCGCTGCCGGGGAAATTAGATTTGTCGAGTTCGCGAGATGTTTCCGCGAATCTTTCTGCGCCTCGGCCGTAATATATTTCCCGCATAGTAATTTTTTCGCATAAATCGGCCAGCGCTTTCTGTGAGGCAACACAGCGGCGGTGCCAACGTGTCGAATTAAAAACACTCGCTGTGCGTTTTATCACATGACGCGCACGCAGGAGCGCGAGTGCAATGCAAATGGTGCGTGTACATTTGTGCTCCGGCGTGGAATTAGCGATAATTCTAACTCAAATGACTCGGCGCGTGCTCTCTTTCCTTCTCCGCCTCCCTCTCCCTTTTTCTGTGTAATATTTGCGACGTAAAAACAGGCAAAAACGTTAAAGGTGTTTCATTCTTTAGAATCGCGTTGGTTCCGCGAATGCGCACATCGCGTCGATATGCTTTATGTGTCATGTTTTATATTATAATATAGCATTATAATATATTGTATTAAAAAATAAGTAAAAATAAAATAATACGGTTAAATGGGACTGAGTGTATTTTATTTGTGCCACCACTTGGCTTATTCCTCCGTGCTACATCTCTATTCATTATATTCTCCTGATACGAAAACGCGAAAATCGAGAAAATGAGAGAAGTTGCAGAGTTTTAAATTTCCCGCCGAAATTTCATGCTACCTCCTCGCTCATTATATTCTCCTGGTACGAAAACGCAAAAATCGAGAAACTGTTCAAAATTTGCAGATTCGCAGAATTTTAAATTTCACGCAAAAATTTCGTGTTACTTCTTCGCTCATTATATTTTCCTGATACAAAAGCATAAAAATCGAAAAACTGTCAAGAATTTGAAAATCTGCAGAATTTCAAATTTCCCGCCGAAATTTCGTGCTGCTTCTTCGCTCATTACATTCTCCTGATACAAAAACGTGGAAATCGAGAAAATGAATAAATTCCCAAATTGTTTAATTTCTCGCCGAAATTTCATGCTACCTCTTCCCTCATTATATTTTCCTGATACGAAAACGCAAAAATCGAGGAAATGAATAAATTCGCAGATTTTTGAATTTCCTGCCGGAATTTCGTGCTACCTCTTCGCTCATTATGTTCTTCTGATACGAAAACGCGGAAATGCAGAAGAATATAAAATCTGAAAATTCAGAATTTTAACAGATTTGTATCAGGAGAATATAATGAGCGAGGAAGTGGCTCTAGGAAAATACGTTTGAGGAAAGGTCCCAATAAAAATACGAATATGTTATATATTTAAATATTACATTTATTTTTTCTTACCATTATATAATATAATAGTAATAAAATATTACTATTACAACATACCACAGCAGAATATAAAACAATATGACATAAAATATACAATATATAATAATAATATTAATATCAATATTAATATATTATATTGAGATATGTAATACAATATAATATAATACAAATTAATATTATACATATGATATGTAGCGATATGCATGGGATACAGAATTTTGATTAATGATACAAATTGGTACAAAATGAAATAATCCAAGTAGCTGTGATTTGATCTTGCCGATTTAGTCCCGCTGGCTCCAGAGAGGCGGAAAGTTCGATCGTCGTAGCTCGTAACTTCCTTCGAGATCTTCGCGCTCGGCGCGACGACCGAGGATACGTCGTCGTCGAGGATCGACGATCCTGAAGAGTCCCGTTTCCTCCGCTTGTTTACGAGCGCCTCCGACTAATTCGACGACAGAGTTCACGGTCGACTCTCTCCGGCCGTTTCGCAAAATTCGATCGCTTCCGCTCAATTTATCCAGCCGTCCAAAGTTTGTCTGCGGACAGAATTTCCACGGATAATTAATCTTGCGTTTTACAACGGGAATCAGTCAAATCTCGCGTAAATTTATACGCGTTTCTAAAGCCGCCAAGACGACAACGCCGACGAGCCTTTTACAGGCAAACACTTAAAATCATAATAAGCGTCTGGCTGGCAACACGCCACGTCGTCGTTCAGAATTTCGATCATTTCTTCTCCCTGCCCCCCCCCTTGGTGACCTCATGCGAAAAGTTAAGCGCACGATAAACTGTGAAATCAGAGCCCGCGCGTCCGGATATTTCGCGATAAAGTAGCGGAAAATTGAAAAAAAAAAGATACACTTATTCGGTATTTATACGCGCGTGCAGAATGCGACGTTACACATCATACAATTAAACAATTTCCGGTGGCAGTAAAACTGTCCTCTGCACGCCGGTGAATTTTTACCGTGAATTATCTTTATTGGCTACAGCGATTATAGTATTTATGCGCGCTGGAGTTCGCGAACGGAACGCGCGCACGCGCGACGATAATGCAAACGTCAAAGCGAACGTCAAGCGCGTGGCATCGATTTTATAATTATATTACTACGGTCGCACACAGGCACACACGCACACGCGCACACCGAGGGACGAAAATTGAAAATTACGCGAACATTTATTTCGAATAATGCTGATTACTCGGAGGGACGCTCATTGCGTTTATTAAACGACAAAATTGTACTTATAATCAAATCCAAATTAAATAGTGCTTCAGATTACGCATATTATTGTTACTGAGTTTTGTACATTTTTTTTCTTGTGTAGCACACGCATACGTACACACAGGAAGAGGGAGAGAGAGGGAGAGAGAGAGAGAGGGAGAGAGAGAGAGAGGGAGAGAGAGAGAGAGAGAGAGAGAATGCCATCTGTTTTGCGATTGTCACGTTCCTATTTCGCAAATATTAATTTCCCATGGTATTCGCGCTGATGCACGGTAGTCGTGACACCTGAAAGTTCTTCTCGTATAAATATAACGACGCAAGATGCGCGATGCTTGCAAATGCTGTTAAGAGGAACCAAATGGCTCCAACGACTGAAACTTCACGCTTTATTGTGAAACTTTATTTACAGCTGAAACTTTGGCGCGTCGCGCTGAAGCGCGACATTCCAAAGCCGATAATGATGAAAATATAATAGCGCAAATGACACGCTGAAAGGAGAACGGTGCTCCTCGCGATTACAGTTCGCGCAATCGTCTGACCAAGAGAGCAAATCAAATTCCGTCCGCGGCCGATATAATTATCGAGGGCTCGCGAGTGGTGCAACAAGATACGCGCGAGAGAGCGAATAGAAAATTGAACGAAATGCTGCGTGCACAGTCCGAGACGCGGCGAAGTCCGCGTTTCCCGCGAGCGCATTGTGTCGCACTGTTTAATCGGTGATTCTCCCTTCTCTTTGTGCGCAGGAGTGGACGGACTACAACCTCCAGTGGAACGAGTCCGAGTACGGCGGTGTGAAGGACCTTCGAATTACGCCGAACAAGCTTTGGAAACCGGATATCCTCATGTATAACAGGTAATCTGGCCTCGTTACATTTGCGTAGCAACTCTCTCGTTTTGTATTGACAAACCAGTAGCTTCGACTAACAACATTTGTCAGGAGCATTTCAGTTATTGCGCGCGGGGCGGGCGCAAGTGGAGAGAGAAGCGCCCACTCCCCGTAATAGAATTTTTAATTAAAGTGCGCGGCCGCGCACACATACAAAAAGCCGCGTGTTAACTACGCTTGTAATCATCGTGTTAAATAAAATATCGCCGCGGACCGGAAGGCACCGCTAGCCGGTGGAAACACGCGCGTTGACTGGCTCACTCCCCGGGCACCGCCGACAGATCCCGCCGTTTAAGACGATCAACGCCTGCGACGCGCGAGTCGGCGCGCTTGATGATTCTCGATCGGTGCGAATCGGCGACAATCCGGCGTATCTCGCGCGTATCTCCCGCGGTTGTACGCGAAAGTACGCGATCGCGGACGGAGGGAAGGCTGGCCTTGTAATTTGACGCACGCAACTTTTCGGAACGGCCACTCTCGGCCTGGCCATTGGGGGAGCATCTGCTATCCGAGGAGAATTCTCCCGGTGAACAGTGCGAGTACCTTCTGAGAGTCGCGCAAAGAATTACGGGCCATCTCTCGCCGACGAGAGCGCGCGCAATCGAGTTGACCGACACTCGACGAGTTCGCGATTTCATTCAGTCGCGCGCGCTCCTGCAATTCCGCGTAATCCGTCGTGATTTAACTGCAATTGCGACGCACCGTCCAAGATAAGCCGTCGCGGACTTCCGCGACGCGATATTTCGCGACACTGTCGATATTTCAAGCGTGACCGCGTTCGCACCGCGCGCGAGCATCGGCGGCGAAGCTCCGTCGGAACGTTCGCGGGGACGCGCGAAGGGGATTTCAGAGGAACTCGGCGGAACGGCGCGAACGAGGAAAAGGTGTTCGCGCAAAAAAGTTCGCGCGCCAACGGGAACTCCCTCGCTCCCGTGAGCGAGGCGAAATCGCGCGGCAAAAAAATTATTCGCCCCGGGGGTGTCCACGGCGCCGCGCGTCCGACTTAACTATCGCCACTTGCCCGCCAGGAAGGTAATGCGCGCAGGCACACCCCCTGTATGCGTGTGTGTGTGTGTGTGTGTGTGTTTGTGAGGGTGTGTACATGTGTACGCACCTGAGAGAGAGGGAATTAAGATTTTTAAGAATGTCTTTTTCAGAAAAGCTGCGACGGCTAAGAAATAGCGCGACGGTATAGCGCCACTGCAGCGAGAGTTTTTTCATTAACTTTAAGTCACTCCCCCGCCCCGCCACACCCCCACGGAGGCACTCCTCCGTTCGGGAGGGTGAATTATTTTCGACGTAGTCTCTCTCTTTTTCTTCTTCTTTTTTTTTTCTTTCTTTTGTTTCCTTGTGCTCCGTTATTCACGGCAAATGTAGTTGTAAAAAAACAAACAAAAAAGAAAAAATATTCAAAGGGTACGTAACTTTTATCCTAGTGTTGCTTCGCATCTTATATTCGAAAGTATTACATATATATATATATAAATATATATACTATATAAATATATATATATATAGTATATATACATATACATATATATCTCTTTTATTACAAAATCCCTGAAGTGCATGCGTTTTACTTGAATCCTAGTAAGAGCCGAGTATATTATATATTTATATACTTGTACTATGTATATTATCTACATTTTTCATTTGTAAATATTGTATCCACGTATATAATTATCGACCCCGATCGTAGAAATCTCTCTCTCTTTACTTACTTACGTATCTCGCGACGGCTCGACTCGCTTCCACGTGCCAGGCGGCTCTCACAGCGCAGGGTGACTGAAAAATTCTGAAAAATTCTCAGCAAAAACAGAGCCCGCAGCGTCGCGCGCAGAGACGAAGCTCGAGGCGAAGCGAATCGAACCGCGCGCACTTTTCAAACGCAGTTGAAAGTACGCAAGTCTTGAGTCGAAAGGCTACTGAGAAAGTAACGATTGCATTAAGTGCCGGTCATTTTCATTTTCTCAAAGGACAGAGAAACAAACAAAACGAAAAGGAAGAAAAGAACAGACAGACAACAGTACCTCGAAGTAGTCGGCCACGTCGTCGCGCGTACCGCGCGTGCGCGCGAACACGCGCGCCCTCTCGCGCTCGCGCGCACGGAACGTAGATTTCCAACGGGAGGAGAATTCCCGGGATAATCGCGATTTCGCGGGCTAAGACGAAGCGGAGCGATCGCGTTTCCCGACCCGGGGAGATGCTGAAACGTTGATATCGCGAGAATTCCGCTCGGGTCGGATCACATTCTCTCCTCCTCTTCTACGCGGTAGGCGGATCAACGACAACGACGACGACGACGACGACGTAGCCGGCTCTTGCATTCTCAGCCACTCTCTCTCTCTCTCTCTCTCTCTCTCTTTCTATCTCACAGCCTCTAGAATAATTAGTCTTAGGTATTTATCTATAGTCTTGCAACTATACATATATATATACAATCGACGGCGGGCCGTCTTTCGTGAACGCGTGTACCGCGCGATTCACGTAAGACGAGCCGAGAATTGAAAATACACCCGTCGCTCGCTGCCAGCCGATTCCCGCCGACAATGGAAAAGACGCTCACGCGTCTCGATCGCGTGATTCACCCGCTGATTGACGCAAATTGTCAAATTGCCCGGGTCGGATCGTCCGGCGTGAGGCGATCAGACGTCGCGCGAATTGCAATCTTTCTTCGGGTTCGGTTTTCGAAACACGGAAAACTCTGAACGCGAAGCCGAGCCACGCGCGTTCACGATGGCGCAGTGGTTCTGCCCCAGATGTGTTTTTTTTTTTTTTTACATATCCACAATGACGCACCCATGGCGGCCAAATTAATCCCAACGCGATTGGAAACGAAATGCCGTTGAATAAGATCGGGCAGGTTTTAATTATAAAAGCGCTGGGTGAAATAACAGAGCGTTTCGATTTCGTGCTTCGATCAGATTTCCACCGCCCTTCCCTTTCCCTCATCCCCTCCGTGGCTCTCCTGCCCTTCCGTCCCTTCGCGAGTGTTGTACGCTCCGATTATTTTCGATCGGTCCGTGGATTATCCGTCGTTCGAGCGGGGCGTAAATTAGATATTCGTTATCGTCAATCGTCGAGCGAATATCGTCGGGCTGGATCGAATTAACAATCAAATGCGATTAGGACTGCGATCCATATTTGGGATTAAATTTCCAGCAGGCGGCTGCCAGGCAGTTCTCTGAAGAGCGTTTTTCTGCAAAATGTTAATACTCGTACGCGGAGATGATATCGTACTATCGTCTGGCTACTCCGCTCACATTGCTTGAAATGGGCCGTAGTTATCTTTGGACATTTTTACAATTGAGCTCCTTGACAGTACGAACATTTAAACTTTCATCATGGAAAATACATGTACACATACACATATATTGAATATATACATATATATATATATATTTACATAAATATATATACTACATGGTGAAAGCTTGAGTGTTTATACTTGAAGACGAAATTAACAAGAATGACCAGATTTAGTTACGTACCTCAGCTGATTGATACCTTCGCTTCGTGGGAAACCAATACTTTCACGCGCGGTACGAATTTTCATATCGCAAAGTCAAGAAGATACGGGAACAGGGAACGACGAATCGCAGGGCCCCGATTGTTAATCACAGAGCCTACTAATCGCATATACATTACCGATCGTGCTGATGGTGCGTTCGATCTGGTGCATAACCGTAATAAAGTCTCGCGGGGAGTCGAGCCGAGACGGCGCTTGTTGAGGCTGATCTCCGCACGAGGCAAAGCGGGAGACGGGATGCGTAATGCGAGACTGCGTAATGAAAAAACAATGGGACAATTAAAGCTACACGGGGATTACGCGTGGGCGATTAATCGCGACGCGATTAATCGTTTACTCGCTAGGTGTCGCTGGCGCTATCGAACGCGAGTGGAAATAATGACGGCAATTTCGGGCATCGCGGAAGAAAATTAGCCCCCAACAGGGCGGGATAATTTGTAGAGCAGTGAGATAAATGGCGGACGATTCATTCGACCTCTTGATACCCCGAGGAAAGGCAGCTCGAGGCAGCGCGAAGCTCGCGGTCGCCGGAGCTTGCGGAGCTCGAGGCTCGACCGCGGCGAGAAAGAGAAAGCGAAAGACAAAGAGCGAGACAGAGAGAGAGAGAGAGAGAGAGAGAGAGAGAGAGAGAGAGAGAGAGAGAGAGAGAGAGAGAGAGAGAGAGAGAGACGAGGGAAGGAAGAAAGAGACAGATATAATGTGGACAGAGCGGAAAGTGCGGCGGTAAAAGTGAAAGATAGCGAGGCGGAGGGGGAAGAAGCGGTCAATCGGACAGGTCGGAGGACCGCGGTGAGCAACAACTGGCCAAGTTGGCAGATCCGAGAGCCGGCCAGCGAGAGAAATTCCAAGGGAACTGCTCGCTGCTAAAGTGTGCGGGATCGCTTCAATTAATTAAAGTCTTGTCTCAGAGAAACTTCGCTTTTGTGGCTGTCGTGGGAAAGCGTACAATGACTCGGAGACTCGGCGGGACAGCGAGAGAGAGAGAGAGAGAGAGAAAGAGGGAGGGAGGCCGCAGGCCGAGGGGGAATGAATTCTTCAGCGGCGCTCGTCTCGCGACGCTGGGACTTTTCTTTTATTCGAAACGGACGGACAGACGATCCGGAGGACGAGGGAAGCGGGGGGAGGGGCAACGAAGCACACGGTCGTCCACACGGGCAGCCATGCACGCGCGCGGCACAAGTGGTGACTCGTTGACGGCCAGTCGTGACATCGGAGATCGATGGGAGCGCCGATGACTGGACTGGAGTTAAGCTCGAATTTCGACGGGTACCTCCACCGATCATTTTCAATTTGCTGTCCGTCCCTCTCCGGGCGGGATCAATTCGTAATGGACGCTTATTATTTCGCCGACGGTTCGCCATAATGTACCGCGATGTCACGTCCTAATGCGGTCGGATTTATCGGAGTCATACACGCGTGCCGTGTTTTGCTAACGCTC